GCACGACTGCCTGCAGGCCCTGCAGTCACAGGTGTCGGAAATGGTAGCATTGGAAATGCTGGTTTTCTTTTGTCAGCCTATGCAATCAGTCTGAGAAGATGACCCCCCAAAAAACAGCAGGATAACATTTCTGAAATAGCTGTGCTGCATAATGGGTGATCTGAGCAAAAAACCCATGTGATAGCTTGACACGTGGTGGTGTTTTGTTGATGTCTGCTTGGGGACACTGAGCAACTGGTAGCTTCACTGTTTGTGAGTGGTGCTGTCATCCTGAATTGGAGCTGAGCAGAAAGTTCATTCTCTGCTGTGGGGGGGGTCATTGCTGCCCCAGCCTTGGGCAGGGAGTTGTGGCTGGGGTTTAATGCGTGCTCCTGCAGGACCTTGGGCATCCCATTGATTCTGCTGCCACTCTGCTTGTGGGGCTCGGGGAGGGGAGCTCCTTCTGGTGCTGCATGTGTGAGCTCTGGGAGGAGGATGTGCCTTCTGTCCATGCAGCATGGTGTGATCTTCCTTTTATTCTGGCCTCTATGTGCTGCTGTGATTTGGGCAGGTGTTGTCTTGGGGGAGCTGAAGATGGAAGTACTCAGGAGAAGGAGATGGGAGCTGGCTCCACAGCTCAGCTTGCATTCCCTTTCTCAAGGCCAGCAATGGGAACATCCCAAATGTTGGGTTTGCTCCTGATGTAGCATAAAACAGCACTGTCAGTGTGCTGCAGCTACGTGCTGTTCGTGCTACCCCTGGAACACGTGCAGGCACATCTCAGGCCTTGTCTCCTTGTATTCTGGCTTCCCAGCCCTGCTGCCCTCTCCAGCAGATCCAGCTCTCTGCCACCGGAGAATAGAAAATGCATATACAAGTTTTGTTCTGGTGTGGCTGAGGTGTGTTTTTTTCTGTTCTGTATTTTTTGCACTTCAGTAGTGTCCCAGCTTGCATTCTGCTTTCCTGAAGAACAAGTTTGAACTCGGGTCTTACGCAGCCAGAAGCCCTTGGCAGCAAGTTCCTTTGGGTGGAGGGATTTCTTATTTAACTCTTGATGCTGTTTTGCTTTAGGAACAGTTTTTATCTCCAAGCTGCTCCTTTGCTGTACCTTGTTCCCCCCTCCCGTGTGCCACTGACCAGCTCCAAGCAACATCCTGTGACAAAATCACACCAACTGAAACAAAAATGCCTCCTGTGTGGGCTGCAGGACCTGGCCGCAAAGTAGGGCTGCTGGGTCCCGGGCTATTGATACATATTAAGTGGGAAAGCTTTCCCACTTGCTGAGCTTCTTTCTCTTTTAGGATGCTTTTAGTTAAATGTCCCCCAATGGAGCTGATTTTCAGAGCAGGCTTAGCAACAAAGTGACACGTGTGGGATCTTCTTTCCTTCCTGCAAAATAAGCAGGTGGGATCTTGTAGGAAGGATGCATCCAGAGGCAGCTCTGCCTGTTGACAAATGCAGTGAACCTGTATGTAACAAACACTCAGCCTGGCAGGTACCCCCACCCCCCCAGTGCTGCTGTGGGTAAGGGAACAGGGAAAGGCACTGCAGCTGCTCTAACAATGCCCAGCCATGTTGTGCAACCACTTAAGGGAAGGAAGTGAACAATTATCATTACGATGCAGTTTCAAGGGCACTATTAAATGAGCAAAGTTGTAGCTCTGCCTTGTACTTAGCTGGCTTGTCCTGGGGTGGAGTGGCAGGGCAGCAAGGCCTGGCAGCAGCTGCAGCCTTGGCTCATCCCCAGGAGTGGGATGAGATCTTAGAGCAGCTTTGTTGAGGCATTGAGCCCCAAAGTGGGTACCCAAACCCCAAGGCTGTGTCATGTCCCCATCCCACGTGTGCCTGGCTGCTCCCTGCCTCATGGAAACCTGGGGATGGGAATTGCTGAAGTATCTCATTGGTACCTGATAGCTTTTACGTATTTTGGAGGAAATGATAATAAGACCCCTCTGCAAGGCCACAGGTGTTGGAGCAGTTGCACAAACCCTGAATTAGCTACTTGGAAGGCAGTGCTGCTATCTGACCATCACCTTCAGGGTGGAAATCCATAGCTTAGTCTTCTACTCCCAGTTTCCCTCCAGTGAAAGCACTTTGTCCAGGAATGATGGGCAGTGCAGCCATAGGCCTCTGCCTACATACTAAGAGTAGGAAGGATGCAGCTCAAGAAGTTTCTTCTGCTGGGATGTCTGTGCAGCTGCAAGAGCTGCTGGAATGTCTGACAGCTGACGGTCTCATCTCCCTTTCTGCTCCTCTCTACCCCTTGTATCCCTCCGGGGGTTTGGGGCTGATGCATCAGCTCTGAGTGCTGAAGGGGAAAGATAAAGGAAATAGGCATTTTCCCCATTTTTTTTTTAAGCCTACATTCATACAAATAACATAACTCCATGTAGGAGCCATTTCACGTTGAGCCCTGGCTGCGCACGAGAGCAGATGTTCTTACTTGGAAACTGCTTTTAAAAATGTATGGATGAAACGCAGTGCCGTCAGTGGATGAGCACAGTTTGCTCCCTGAGCTGCTGCGAGTGCTGGCTATGCTGTGCCCATGGGAGATGTGCAGTGCTGCACACAGGGGCTGCTCCTGTGGGAGCAAACATTGCCTCCAGCCGTGCAGAGTTCTGCTGTTGAGCCACGAGGGGAGCTGGGGCAGTTTGTTCATTTGCAGCCTTGCTTGTGCCGTGTGCCCTGGTCAGCCTGCAAAGGGATTTCTCTTGCGGTGGGATTGGATTGCAGCAGATTCAGGGCAGTGGGATGGACTTGGCTGTGGGGTTTATGAGTCTTGTGCCAGTGCAGGGAGCTGTGGTGCTGTGCTCCCAAAGGGAAGCTGTGGCTCACAGCTGGGGCAGGTGAGTGCTGTGTGTTTGTGCTTTGCTGACCACAAGGCTGCCCCTGCTTGGTGCCCAGCAGCTCTCCTGTGATCCACGCTGCAGTGCTGGGAGCACAAAGAACAGCCTCATCTGTGAGTATCCATTTGTGCCTGAGGAGAGCTGGGAAATGCCAATTAATGTTCATCTCTCTGGGACTATCTGTTAATTACTGTCATCTGTGGTTTGTTCTATAGTAGTGGTCAGTGTCCTGTGCTGCTGCTGTACGGGAGTGAGTGGGCTCTGGGGGACTGCATTCATCCCAGGCTTCTGCAGTGCTTAGCAAACATGAGCATTTCATTGCAGCCTTCCTAGGAAGTTCAGCTGCTGTTTGCAAGGGTGAGAATCCGCACATCCTTCAGGGTGAAAGAGAATGAGGGTGGCAAAGCTGGGAGCTGAGTGTCCTGACTCCCACTCCTCCCCTCCAGTGCTTCCTCACCCACATCAGTGAGGTTAATTGTGGGTTGGAAGCACTGGGTTGGTGTCTGAGCAAGCTGTGCAATGCAGCCTTGTGCTGCACAGTGTGACAATGGGGCTGCTGTTCTGCTTAACGTGGAGGGGGGACGGGAGGTTGTGTGCCTGGAGCACTAAACACCAGGCTCTGCCTGCCTGCAAGGTTGCCTAGCAAATGTGCTGGGAGTGCTGCACCCTATGGGCTGTGATGCAGGGAAGGAGCAGCAGGGTGGGATCTGGTGGCCCTGGCTGATGGAGTGTCTCTTGGCTGCTGTGGGAGGTGGAGGGAAATTGTGTCCTCAGTACTTTAGAGAGGACCCAATTTCTGCTGAGCTCTTGTGAAGTTATCACAGCTGATGCTGTACCAACATTCAACCGCTTCCAAAGCAGCTATCTTCTGTGGGGGTTGTACTGTGCAAATGGCACTGGGGGCTGTGTCTTGCTGCAAGATGTGGATACCATCAGACCTGCCTTGTTTATGGCCAACCTTTCTGCAATGTGAAGGCAGAAATACAACCCTCACTGACTAAACAGATGAAAATCTCTTCGAGTGTATTTCTCTCTTTTCTGGCAAATCGGTGCTCCTGGATTCAGGGAGGAGCAGTGTGCTTAGGGCAGCCCTTGGGTTGGCTTCTCATGGCAAATGAATTGGAACTTGCACATCTTAAAGTGAAGATGGATGTACTGGAACTGTGAGAGGCCATGTGAGCCTTGAGGCATTTCCTGGCCTGTTTGTCCCTCTGGGTGTCCGAGCTCTTGCTCTGATCCAAATAATAAACCATATGAGCTCACAGTAACATGCCCAGGATTTTAAGGCTGCAGCCCTTGGCCAGTGTTCACACTGACTGCTTCCATCAGGGCTGTGATCCAGGGCAAACGTGAGGAGGTGGGTGGTTGGAGACAGATTTTTGTCTCTGCTGGAGAAACAGTGGCTGTTGTGTCATCTGCACCCATCCCTTTTGTGTGCACTGCTGCAGAATGTGTGCTTCCTTCCATAATGATGTTCTTGGGTGGGAAATTGTCCTCAGCTGTGACACCGAGCCCTGATGTCCTGCCCTCATGTGGAGCTGTGCTTCTGCAGCTTTGGGAAGGGCAGTGAGTGTGTGCAGCCTCAGCTCCAGACAACTGAGTCATCCACCAGGGCTGCCAGCTCTCCCTTTGCTGGTTGCCTGAGGCGAACGTGGCACAGTGACAGGAGATGTAAATATGCACATACACACACTTGCCTGCATGGGAGAGAAAAGTAACAGCTCGAAATGGGATTGGAATTTAAAATTGGAAATATTACTGAGTAAAGCCATGTGTGCTGGAGGCCGTGGCTGCTCCTGAAGGCTCCTGGAAGCTGCTCGGACCGGTGGTGTTCCTACATGTGCCCCTGATGCAGTGAGGTGAGAAGCTCTTGTCACCCCTCTGTCATCCTGTCACTGCTACCTGTGCTCCTGGGGTGCATTTCTTTGCACTGCCTGCTGCTGTGCCTTGTCTTCATCTCTCTGCCAGATGAAGACATCTCTGCAGGAGCAGATTTTGCTGAGAGCATGCATTATTGAGGAGCCAGTATAAAATGAGCTCCCTTGTTTTGGACGTGTGTGTAACCCTGGTGTTATTTCCTCCCCTCTTCAGCAGCATAAAGGCAGAGAAGAGCAGTGAGTTCCTCAGTGCTACAGAGCAGACTGTGTGCTGCACAGAGCCATTGCAATACCTGGCAGGTTGCAAACAAAGGCTTAACCCAAAATGGGTCTGTGGAGGGGTCTCTGCTGCCTGTTCCTCCTTCTGGCTCCTCAGCTGTGTTCTTCTATCATGCAGGTAATAAATGGTAGAATATTAAACCTATGGCTTCTTCCTTTCTATGTGCATGGTAACAGATGCTTGCCATGCATTGTGATGGGCAGCAGCAGGGAAGAAATATGGGAGAGAGGGATAAAATGGAATTGAATGTTAAAGGGACGAGGAGCACAGCTTTAGGAAGGTTGGTTTGGGAAGGGGACGCTTTCCTACTGAAATGGGATTCTGCCTCCCACCCAGCAGGCATGGCTGTAGGAGAGGTGCACAGCAAAACAGCACAGTAAGAAGATCAGCTGCTGTTTCTCTGAAGAATATCACTGGTAATTGACCTTTCAAAACACTGTTCCTCTAATTTGGATTCTCCAGCTGCTGGCAGTGCCTTGCCTGGGGTTCTGGCTGTGCTGAACCAAAAGCAGCATCCCATCTCGCTGCCTTGGGCAGGGTGTGTGATGCTCATTGTTTTGTGATAGTGAGAAGGAAATTATTAGGGAAATTACTAATGGGCTTGCCATATCCAAGAAACAATGTGTTTATACAAATCCCTGCTATAGAAGAGCAGTACCAGGGTCTATACCCCAGCTGCAAAGATGAGCCACGCTTTGATCTATGGAAGCAAACTCCCAGCATTATGTGCCTGCATGCTTTAACACGGGGTTATTGGGTTGGCATTGGTACTGGCTTGTTGGAGCAGAGCCTCATGCAATGCAGTGTCTGGCCATGAGCAGGGATTTGCCTCCAAGCTCTTGTTCCATACAGCTGTTCATTGCAGTGCTGCCAAGTGTTTCCAGGGCAGATGCTGTCTGTGAAGATATGTTAGGACAGAAGTGCTAAAAATTCTGGGGAATGCAGCAGAGAGCGATGCTGAATGATGCTCTGGAAGGACGAACAGCAGCTTGCAGAGTGCTGGAGCTCCAGGTTATCCCACAGAGCCAACAGACACCAATGCACAGTGCTAGACAGTGGGTCTGTTCTGCTCAGGTTGCCAAAGCAGTGTGTAATTCTCACCTTGCATGTGAGCTGTGCTGCTGTGAGGCCTGGCTGGCTGGGTGTGCTGCCATACTTTGCCTTATGAGCATGCAGATTAAAGCTGATGGTGCATGTGGGGATTTCCATAAAGTCACCAAGAACCCAAAAGCACTTTTGCTGTGGTTCTGCTGAGTCTGGGTTTGTACAGAGGGGCTGCATAAGCTGTTTAGGGATGTTGGTGGGGGCTGTGGGGCTCCCTGGTGGAGCTCTCAGGAGAACTGCTTTCTTTTCAGACATGTGGGTGTTTTGTTTAGGAAACCCAGGAGGTGCCCTGTGGCTGTGAAACAGACATGGGGAGCAGCAGTGTTGGGGTTGCTGCCTCCTTGGATGCACCACACTCAGTTGCTGTGTTTCTGCTATTATTTTTGGTGGGTCCTATGGAGGGTGGCTGAGTCTGTGCTGTTTCTACCATTAAGGACACATTAAACTCCTTCCAATGGAAGTGCTGGTGCTTCAGATGTATCTGGGTGAGCTCTGATTGCTCAGCATCTCCCTGGCTTGCAGCCTGGTGACTCAAGGGATGCTTTCAGAAGGATCCCAAAGGCCTCTCCTGGTGCACAGTGCTTGGTCGGGGTCTGAGAGGAGCAGGAGAGACAGGAAGGGAACAGAACCAGTTGGCTGTAGGTTGCTGAGGATTCATTGGAAGAAGCACACTGTGAACTTTGCTATCATTACCTGTTACCCTGCACCACGATGCTCCGTTCGCGTGGGTCTGTGGGCAGGAGAGAGGCAGCTGTTGGAGCTGGGCAGGTGTAGGCAGGCTGAGGCTGCCTGTATGTGGGGGCTGTGGGCTGCAGGCAGGGGTTAGCCACGTGGTGACCCCTGTCCTTGCTGTCACTTGGCAGCATCTCTTCACTTTGCGGTGGTTTTCCTGGGTCTGTGCTCCAAGGCAGGAGCAGCTGGCAGCTGAGAAGAAGGAGAAGCCATTTTCAGTGCCAAACTTGGTGTGAACGCAGCCTTGTGTGTCAGTGGGTGAAAGAAGCTGAGCAGCACAGGAAGAACAGAGTAAGCGGGTCAGCTGTCCTCATTGTATCGCTGCTGGTGAGTCAACTGCTTGTAAACATAGCTGGTTTTGATGTATGCTGCAATTGGAACTCTGTGTTTTGTAGCAGGGGCAGCGTGCTGATTTAAATCACAGCGTATATTTTAGTGAGAGGAAGCGCTGACCCAACTGCCAAAGCAATGTTATAATGAAAAGCCATTCAGACTGCACGTCCTCTGTTGCCCTCTGGTTTCTGGAAGTGACTGAAGGAAATAGCGCTCTGCTGCTGGAGAAATCATCCCCTGAGTGTTGTTTTGTTGCTGCGTGATGGATTAATTTCATTGATGGCATCAGCGCTGTGCAAGAGAGCTGCAGGCTCGTGGGGAGCTCAGGAAGCTTTCCTGGTTGTGCTCAGAGCAGTGAGCTGGTCTGATACACACAGTGACCACACTGCACATCCTGTTGCAGCAGGGCTCTTCCTGAGAGGGAGCTCTCCTGCACTGTACCTCTTCCAAGACTCTTTGCTTGATCCGTACCTTTCCACTGATCTGTTCAGTTTGGGAGTCAGAACATTTCCTGGTGGGCTGATGTCCAAATTGGAACCTCCTTCATCATGAATTCTCTTAGTCACTGTGAAGTTTTTACATCCAAGTGTGTTGAGCATGGGTAACGAGTGAAAGAGTTAACCAGGATCAACAGAAATTCACATTTGCACCTTAATCCCAACTGAGCCGTCTCCAATGCTGCCAGTTAATTAGATCCCATCATGATCCTTTTAACGTTTGAGTAATTTTGGAGTACCATGGTTTAAACTTGTTGCATGGCACCTGGGAAGTGAAATCCCTAACAAGCAATAGGCACAATTTCACTTCATTCTGCTCCTGCTGCAGGAGGTGCTGTGCTGGGTGATTCCATGTGGTCACCTCCTGTGAATCCTTCGCTCTGCTGCATTTTGTCTTGGGCTCTGGACCTTGCATTCTCTTCTCTCCTGCCCATCCTCATGGGTTTGCTGTTGGATGGGCACTGCTGAGGCTGGGAGGTGCTTGCAGCAGGGAGCACTGGGTGCCTTGGGTTTCTGAGCAGACACTGAGGGGGGTGGATTCAAATTGCTGATGATGACGCGGCTTGTTGGAGCCACTAAGAGTTGAAATGGTGTTTTATTCAGCTCTACTAATCAGAGAGTGAATGCAGATAAATACAGCTGTCTTCCTCGCTGTCATTTGGTATTTATTGGCAAATATGCAGTGGAATTGAATTCCTTGTAAGTACTTTGCAGCTAACGGTAGGTGGCAATTAACTGAAATGAGTACTGTTGAGCACGGATGCTACCATCAGTGAGTGGAAGAGGAGCCAGCACGTGGCCCCAGCAGCTTCCAGAACACCTTGTTGTTTTCCCCTTTGGATTCCCTTTATCGAGACTGCAGTGAAAATAGCTTCTTGTGTGCCTCAGGCTGCCTGCTTCTGCCACAGGTAGCGTGGGTCTGTGCTGTTCTGTGGGTGAGCAGGGAGAGGACAAGTAGGAGTTATCCATGCAGTGTTTGGCAAGGGAAAAGCAAAAATTTGGGAAGAGCGGGTGGTTGGGGTGCTGCAGTGTAGCTCCAAGAGTAGTGTTCCCCCATATGGGGACATGGATCATCACAGAAATCATGGAGATAGAGCTGTTTTGACAGCGAAGGCGGTCACTGTTAATGGCACCAGTAGCATCTGGTGCTGTTCTGCTTTGCTTCTTGCCTGGCAGTGTTCTCAGCATTCTTGGGCCCTTCGCTGCCTTCTCTGTACTGAAGGTGTTGCTCTATGAGTCCTCGTGCCTTGCCTGCGCACCCCTTGTGAAGGAACATCTTTTGCTCTCTGTTCTTTCAGTACCTTGCCAGGCAGCCAAAAGACAGTCTGTGCTGTGCTGTCATTAGCTGCAGTGTGACAGTGATGGATGACCCTGTGAGATCTTGTTGTTAACGGCAATATCAGCCCTTCCTGTTCTTCTCAGCTCTTCCTGCCTTCAGATTACAGCCATCCTCCTGAGCAGAAGCTAAGGCAGAGGGAAGGGGTTCTTCTGCCTGCTGTGTGCCAGCAGTGATGCATGCTCCTGTTGTTGCAGTGATGGGGCTGAGCAGTGCGTGGTGCTGTTTCATTTGTGTGTCTCCCAATAGAATACAGTGCAGATTGCAGAGCTCATCTGTGGCCAAACTGCTTCATGCTTGGCCTCCAATTGCTTCTGATAAACGTGGTCTTTTTGCTGTTGTTTCTTAAATGCCTGCATCGCCCCACGTTAGGTACCTTTTGCATAAGGAGCCAAGTGCTCCCAGAGCTGCCCTGGCTGCAGCCCTGTGGCTGTGTGCATAGCTCACATGCAGTGCAGCGACAGGACCTGCTTGGTGCTCCCACTGGGAGCTGTTGCTGGGGCCCTCCCCAATACACGCAGTGGTGTTCTGATTCCTACATTACAATAGGGGTCTTTAAAACCCTATCCTGACTTGTCTGGATTTGACATGCTCAGTCAACTCCATGCATTCAGGGAAAATCATTTTGCTGTGAGCTGGGAAGGCCACCAGGCTCTCCTGAATGCCTGTGATTTGGGATGTTTTCTGCCACTTGGAACTCCTGCCTGTCTGGAAGAAGGTGCAGATCTCTGCATGTGGTTTGCACTTAGGGCAGGGGCAAGGCTGCTCCTTTGGACTCCATTGTCCTTCTGTTTTTCTTCCCCATACTGTGCTATTAGCAAAGAGGTTGCATGCACTGGAATTGCATTTACAGGCTTTGACGTCTTAGCTGTGGAAGGAAGAAAAGCAGCTCGTGTTCTGCAGAGTCACCTCTGAACCACACCATATGGCCCGACACCTTCAGCTTCTCAGCAGCAATTTGCTGGCTCAGGAAGGAGTGAATCTTCTTTTCTGGAATTAAGGATGAGCAGTAGGTGCTTGCTGAGGTAGAAGTGAGCCCAGGCACTCTGCCTGGGTGTCAGCACAGGGTGAGGGGATAGAGGGCTGTGCCTTCTCACATGGGGATGTTTAGGAGGCCAACTAACTGGGCAGGTGTGTGTGTATGGGATCTGCCTTCTGCTTGGTCCCAGCCTCTGGAAGCTTCTTGTTCCGTTCCTGGAGCTGACGGACGAGGCCTCTTCAGAGACCGTTGAGCTGCTGTGTGATTCTGCCTGGAGATGTCTTCTGTTCTGGAGCAGCTCTGAGCTCCTCTCCTGACAAGAAGAGATATGCAGCACCAGCAGCTCTGACTGCAGCAGTGACATGGGCAGGGGCAGCTGGTGCAGTCACAGAGGCAAGGTGCAGTGGGAAGAAACCAATTCTGAAAGGAGATGAGTGCTTGCCTTGGACTTGATCGTCTCTTGGGTTCATCCAGAGCCCCTCTTTGGGCAGTGCTGAACATGTGAATGAGCCAGGAGTCTTTCGTTTCTGGATTTTAGCTGTGGACTCACCTCTCTTATATGTGAAACCAGCAGATGACAAAGGATGCTCTACTTAGAGGGAAGAGGATGTTACTTTCTCTAGGTCTTTCAAAGCACAAGCAGCACTCCTTTTCCCCTCTCCTGAGGACAGCATACAGGAGAGGGAAGAAGTGAAGCATTAGTGAAGCTCTGGACTCCATCAGCTTGCTGGTAACACTGCCCAAGTGGATGGAGTGAAAACTGGAGAGCAGTGTGGGTTGTGTGAATTGGAAGATGCCATCAACATCTTCCAAACCCCAGCTCCCCCTGGTGAGCTCTGCAGTGAGAGCTGTCTGCAGGACTGTGCCTGGTGGTCCTCAGCCCTGTTCCCTCCTCCTGCCCGTGGGTTTGGAGCTCTGGGTTTACGTCCAGAAAATGCGCAAGCTGCAGAAGAAGAGGTAGGAAGGGGCTCAGGGGCTTTGTGGGGAGAAACGGGGCTCCCATTTGTCTGTCTGACTCAGTTTATTCAAGGCTGGTTCAGATTGGCTCACTTGAATGGCAGATGCCCCTCTTCTGCTGAATCAACCTCATTGTTTCTCACAGTTCAGCTTTGGCCAATGGAAGCTGCTGGGCATGAAGCGGTGGGGTGTGTGAGGCTGTTTGTTGCTGAACATTTAGTTGCTTCCTGTGCTCTTTGTGTTGTGTTTCTGAATGCTTTTAAAGCCTGTGGTGACTGAATTACACGCTGCGTTGCTTCCTGGAATTAGCCCTGGCTGTGGGAAGGGCAGGCGAGTTGCAGGAGTGGGTTGTGCTTCTGTTTAGCATTGCTGTCTTCAGCTCCTGTCCCTTCACATGGCAACAGTGGCTTGGTTGAGCGTGGAACAGTCTCCCCTCCCTCCTTGGTGTGCTGAGGTCCCGAACTGAGCAGTGATGCTAATTAGATAAGGCAGATATGCTGCTGAGCAGCCTGTTCAAGGGCAAACAGATTTCCATTAGGCTGTGTGCACTGGAGGGCTGTGTCACTGCTGTGTGCCCAAGCACCAGGAAAGCTCCTGGGGAGAGTGAGTGTGCACAGGTGTGTGTGTGTGTGTGCCAGGGCAGAGCTGGGGCATGCTGTGTGCTTCTGGCAATGCTTCCACCTGCAAGTGGAGGCTGAGCAGGATGCTGCCCTTGGAATACTCATCTGGGCTCTGCTATTGCAGGGTGGGGAACCATCACTGTTCAGATCACACAACAGTTGTGGTCAGTCCATGACTGCAGTGCCATGAATTAGGCAAGCTGTTCTCCAAGCTCAGTTCTTAGACTCTGTGTCGGGTGAACTCAGGCTGCTAAAGAGAGCCTGGTTAGCAGGATGAGCTTTGGTTGTTGAAATGTGAAATGAAATAATGCAGAGTGTGTTTCTGTCTGCAGCCTCCCAGCTGGAACTCAGTTTCTGTGACAGTGGCTCCATCCCCCTGTTTTGAATTCTTTCAAGTTTCTTCTCTGCTAAGTTGCCTGAATTTATTTTTGCTCACTTAGGTGCTCTTTTTCTTTCTCCAGTCCCCAACCTTCTTAGGGACTTGTATAACCAAGATGTTATAATTGCAATATAATCAAAAGAGTAAGGC